TGAGCTAATTAGAATTTCGAAAAACTGACCTCAGATTCGAGATCCTCGACCCCGATTACCCTTCGGTCGACCCTTACTCGACAACGATGAAAATTTTCATTACTTAATTAGCTAATGAGCTGATTGGAATTTCGAGAAACTAACCTCAGATTCGAGATCCTCAACCCTGATTACCCTTCGGTCGACCCTTACTCGACAACGATGAAAATTTTCATTACTTAATTAGCTAATTAGCTAATGAGTTGATTGGAATTTCGAGAAACTAACCTCGGATTCGTGATCCTCGACCTCGATTACCCTACCAGTAATCATTTTCTAACAACGATCGATCAATTTCATTGATTTTAGAAATGCTGATTTCTGATTGGATAGGACAGACTGACAGACAGACAGACAGACAGACAAACTTTAAGCTTTTTAACACAGCATTTAAACGCTGTATAACCCTTTCTTTCAGAAAAGGGAATAAGAATAGAAGAAAATAGCACGAGTCACAAGCGCAGAAAGAAGATTTAGTTTCAATTACCACACGGATTCATGGGACGAACGGTGCTGACTTTGATAAATAAGGTATTTGGCGAAGGAACGTCGATGTCAACCACCTGTTTGGCAGAAGAAAAGAAGCATACCATGTTAGTAAACGTGGTCATAGGATTATACATGAGATTGAAAGAAAGGATAGAAAGAAATCTGTATCTTCTTGTTTGCGAGAAATATGTGGGATATCATTAAATTACTTTTTAAAACAATAGCGGTTACCTAAACAGCGAAGATAAACTCATACGAATAGAGAAAAGTTCACGATTGTATACGGAAGTGTGTCAGGCTGTTGGACCGATAGTTTAGTAACTCACAGAAGAATGAAAGGAACTATAATTGAAATAATTATCTCAACATATCGCTCAATAACATGTGATGACGAAATGAGAGTATAGGATGACGCTAAGAAAATAGCAAAAGAAAAAGTTTACTCACCATAGGGTTCATCATCTAATACAGTCGGTATTAGAATTGATAATAATAATTAACTGATGTAGCTCGAAAGCAAGAAGATTTTAATATTACATAATTCAATTGAAGGCACTGATTGTGGAAAACTAAGAAAGAAAAGAAAAAGAATTTGAAAATGAAATATCACTTACCAGATTGTTTATTATTTAATATTAATGGAAATATACAACCAATAATTGATTTGTGATTTTGCTAAGTAATTAATACCATAGAGATTGAAAACTGTAAAAATACCAAAGGAAACAGTATCGATATTTAAAATGTGATTCACTGTTTGGCTAACTTTATATTGGATGTATAATGAATAAATGGAAAATAATCAGTAGAGGCCTATATATCAATATCACATAAGTCGATTCATGTTGTTGTTTGAGTTGAATGACTAAATATAAACAAAAGTGAAAAAACGAGACTTTGAGAAAATATATCACTTACATTGTTCTTCATTATTACTTGATATCAATGGAAGTATATAGTTAATCGTCGGTCTGCTGTTTTGCCGAAGAAGCAATACCATGAAGATTAAAAACTTACCGAAACAAAGAAATTAGCATCATCATTTTGGATGTGAGCCATTATTTGACGAATTTAATATTGAGTGAGTAACGGAGAAATAGAAACTAATTGATGAAGGTATCAATATCATATAATATAAGTGAATTGGTGATCTTGTTTGAATTCAGTACTTGAACATTAAAGAAACAGAGAAAAGATATTTTGAGAAGATGAATCCCTTACCATATTGTCCATTGCTTAATATTAACAGAAATAAATAGTTAATCATTCACTTGTTGCTTTGTGCACTAATCGATAACATTGACACGAATAAACTAGCTGAAAGGAAAATAAATAAAAAGGTGTGAATAATTAAAATACGATGTAGTACTTAACGAAGTAAAATATATGAATGAACAGCACAGATAAAAGATAAATTGAGAAAAAATATACTTGTAATTAAATTATTGCGACACGACATTTCAACATGAATATATGTATATCATCCAATTAAGATTATATAGAAGATACAAGAGGCAAACTATATTATAAACAAGATACAACATCGAATAAGATAAAGAGTTTTCTTAAATAACTGCGGCCTTAAACCTCATTTATCGATCTTCAATCATTTGCGTCATTCTCCTATTCATAAGAGTCGATTGAAACTGATTTAAATCGGATCTTAAGTAAACTCCTCTTGAAGACATAAATAATGAAACGTTCATGTTCGCAGGAAATCTGCATATTGGATTATGTTGTTGAAGTTTGTACACAAGGTTTTAATTCTTAATCGAGTAGAAAGTGAATCTATAATGAATAAACTGTCTATTGATGGATTATTTATACTATTATTTTTACTTAGTATAACAGCGAATACAGGAGTTTTGACCAATTGACATAACAAGACAGGAATTGTCATTAAACTTCATTCTTTAGATAAATATTCACCAGCATTTTTACTCCCGTGACAGTCTACAATAGAAAAAACCTTAATGCTAAAAGATAATCTTGAGGAGCCAAGTTACCAAGAAACTGTTTCATGATGAGCAGGAGAAGTCTTCATCATATCACTTATTGACTGATTTATTATGATTCGTCGTGAACGAAATATAAATGCTTCTTTCCATAAAGGTAATTGAACATACTAATATTCGGTTGAAAAAACACTTGTGATCGTACAACTTTGGATTTAATTTCATCAGAGATTTCATTATTACATAGCATTATTGTCATGTAACAAAAAAGTAATAAATAATATTTAATTATTAGTTACCCCTTAATGTGCATGCTGTTCAGCAATTTTGCCATTTTTCTTTCTAACTGAAGTTGAAATTCTGGAACAATATTGGCTATTTGGATGATCAGCACATGTTCGTTTTAGACTGGATCGTAACGCATATTTCCAAGTTACCTAAAGTATAAAAATTGAAGTAATGATTTTATGAAAAAGAAGTCTTTACTTAGTGAATTTTCTTATGTTAGAAGAAATTTCAAATATCGTGTACAAGCAGAACGAGCGACATTATATGACGTTTTTGAGAGATGATGGTTAATTAAAAAGTTAATAATACGAAGGAGTGTGAAATTCTATGATAATTGAAAATGGTTTTTCAGAGCAAAACCAGTAGTTTTATGTTGATCGTTCAGTTTTGAACTAAACAACGTATTAATTTAATATAATATAAAGAAACAACTGTCGATCATCGATAGTTTCTGGATAGAGAAAAATCTCATTGTGTCGTTCTAAATATTTAGAGAAAAACTGTTTCAACTAACGATTTCTTGTCTCATATTATTTGAAATTTAAATTACGAACTATGTAATCGATTACAAAAGCGAATACTAGCAATTTTCAATATAAAACTGTTGGAGAGCAAAGAAGAAAATTTCTTAAGATATGAAAGAACAACACGGCTATATGTGTTTCAATGAAGAGATAGTTTATAGTAAATTATAATTTTCAATCGGATCATCACTAATTGCATTGGTTATTATTTGCCGATCTTGATGATGTAGGTGAAAATCTTGAAATTATCAGCTTCAAAATCTATGAGTACAATTTTTAATAATACTCATAGTTCAGATATGTGAAAAAGTTGAAAACGTACCTGCCGTACTAATAATTTCACCAGTTGCTGAATTATCTATACACATTGTTAATGGAAAATTGCTACATACTGAATAAATTGCAGATAGTACTTTCGAACTAGCTGCAACAGTAGTTTATGTTTGAGTATTGAATAAAATAAAAATTGATATTTCAAGTATTGTAAATATATTACATACTAAATCATCATATGAAACTGAATTTAACTCTTAAGAAAATTTGCTTAGGTCCAGCTAAGAAAATGAATTATCTTTCCAATTCCAACAATAACTGCCATAGTCGTTTAGCATAATTTATCATTTGAGTAGATCCATGTATATCATGGTTTGGTAAAGAAGTAAAACTTGAATTGAAATATGATGAGATGCGAAGAGGAACTTTTTTTAGAATAGTTGTAAAAGTTAGAAAGTTGGATTAGTATGTTTTGCTATATTAAAGAAAACATACAAGACAAAACAGTTATATAAGCAATACTAATACACAGTATTACAAAATCCAAAGAGAAAATCAAATGATAAACTTTTATTAATTGTGAACCTTAAATAATTTCACCGTCAATTTCAATATGGATTGATGACGAAGATGAAACGGCTATTGAATAAAACTTGATATTTTCAGACGCATGAATGTGATAAATTTTTAAAAAAAGATTAATAAAAGTATGATGATGAAGTTATAATAACAACTACGCCAGAATAAGTGTTCGAAAGATGATTACAAATGATGACATTGAGAAAACATAAACAATTCAATGTTTTGCTTCGGCGGAAACGCAAACGTTTACTCTGCTTTAAAAGACACAAGAAGGCGACTAATTCAGACAAATACTAATAACAAAGGCTTTTAGGTTGCATTATGGTGACCTATTCATTGACACAAATACAAAACGGGGTTTTATTTGGCTAAAAATACGCACGTCTTTACATAATAAATTAAGACAAACTGATCTCCATATCTTGAGAAAACTGAATCAAGATCATTGAGTAATTTGCACCAAAGCAACTACGTTTTCACAGGAACAATTTACATAAAATAATAAAGTGATCATGAGATGCCTAATTCGACTTATATTATAAGTCGACCCCCGACAGGCTAGTATCAATTCGAATATAAATAGATATCTATATAACCCTTATAACAAATGAGTAGATAGGAATAGAAATAGATTTAGTTTTATACATTTATACACCCACACCCTCACTTATATCTATCTCGATTGAGGGTGCCGCGGTGGGTGTACACGCGGCTATATCATGATTGAGGGAGCTGCGGTGGATGTTGGTGATGGTATATATGTACAAGTAAAACTAAATCTATTTCTATTCCTAAGGGTGCTAGGAATTGGTCACTTATATTATAAGTGGAATTAGGCAGCTACTCTAGAATGCTGCCCAGGTCAAACAATCCGACACGGAAATGGTCGGTTCCGGGGTATTCCGAAGATTTCATGGAAGCAGTATTCCACATGAACGGATCCGGTGGTCGAATTTATCTGATTTGGACCGGAACCGACAGGAACATGTCAAAACTGGTAGCCGGAAACGGTTACCGCATTTCTCCATCGGATTCCTGGCATTTTCCGAGCAGGTTCCGCTCAGGAATGGCGTGTTTCCTCAGGGACTTTGTCGGAAATTCATGGAATCCTGCTTCAGGAACCATCGTCCTGGGTATATTTTTGCTGGTATCATTCTTTTCCTTACTCCGTATATCTGACCCGTCACAATCAAACGATTTAGATATAACTCATGTAATAATCTTTCATCTTTCAAATTACAAGTTTTGTCATTATTAATGTGGTCGATCGCGCTTATATTTGAGATTAAATTAAGGATATTGCATACAATGACCCAAATCGAAGATATGAGACATCTTTTAATAAATGACTATTGTAGTTCGGTACGTGTCTGCAGCGACATATTTTCCATACTAATATTAATTTTTAATTATAGATATTACTTCATATGACAGAAAATGCTACAAACAAATTATTTCGATTGATTATTTCTTTTTCTGTCGCTGAATCAAACGACGATAACTCAATTGATATCCGATTAACCGCCGATGATGGTAAAGAAAAACGAAGTTTTCTGTGGACAATATATAGATGCTTTATTTTCATTGACAGTTGCTGTTCTATTTCGCTTCTACTATGAATGTACTGTGTCACAGAGTCAGACGGCTTATGGACTTCAACATGCAGATCTATTGAATAGGTTTTCTGTATTCGGACGTTGTGGATATACTTTATTCAATGTTAAAAGGGACTGATACTTTTCATTCAAACTATTCATTTTTCCAGAAATAAATTGAAAATCAAGATTCACGAACAAAATGCACATATAATTTTAGTTCAGTTGGTGCATATTTGCTTTATGCAATTTTTGATTTTAGCTTCGAGTTTGCTTTTAAAATCATGTTAAATTCTTGTTATATTTATTTGCAAGAGAAAAATACCTAATAAATACTAATTCAAATATTTATATATTAAAATAAGGATGAAATAACTATGTGAACTCTCCGTTTATTGATATTTAAGATCCGAAAAATATCGAGTTTGAACGATTTGGTCAACGAAAAAGGACAGGAAAAGCTTCATGACTAGACATAAGTTTTGTCAATCTAGAAAAAGTAATATCACACATATTCTACCGTGATTTGTTTATCTACATGCTAATCAATTTAATTAAATATTAAACAGCTTAACATATATATAACGGCACGTGTATCGTTATCAAAAACATTTACGAAAGTTTCAATCAAGCGCTGTCAATGGAAAAAAACTACACCCAGGTCGACGAATCCCATACTCGGGTCCGATCGGACTCTGTCGGATTTTATCGGAATTCGACGAAATCCGATAGAATTCCTGGTGACGGAATTGCTTCGGATTCCGACGGTTGCGGATCCTATCGGATCCCATGTCAGATTGCGTCGGATCCGAAACACGGATTTTATGGATTTTCTAAGGGTCATCATAGAACCTAGCTAAAAATAACGCTCATAAAATTTGTAACAAACGACTGGATTTTTCCAGTCAGAATCCGATGCAATTCCGTCACCAGAAATCCTATCGGATTTCGTCGGATGGTCGGATTCAACCTCGGATGTGTTGATCTGGGCACGGATAGAATTATTCTAGCTATTGTCAAGAAGAATTTGGCATACATACATGTGGACTAGAAGAATTTCTGCGCAAAGTCACGTCAATGAGAACAATTATTCGTCGACTCTGAATACACCACAAGCTGTTTTATTATTTGAAATGCAAAACAGATAAAAAAAACTTTCGATATGATATGTAAGAACTAGTTCGAATAAACACTTAAAAAAACAGAACATCGGTATTTCAATATGTGAGTTCTTTTTCTAATGCGAAGTCCTTGCTTGACATTAAAATATTAATTAACTTCTATACAAAGATAATGGGAACAAAAATCTGATCATGAACGAATTCAATCTTCTGCAATTAAGCTTTTCAAAAAAAATCACTTACTTTGCAGAGAAAAAACTGTATCAATCAGATGCCCAGGTCAACAAACCCGATGCCGGATCCGATCGGCTTCGAGTATGGGATTGATCGATCTGGGTGGATCTGTGAACAGGAAGTTATAGCAAGGAAAATTCAGAAAATACGAATTCATAGAGAGCAGCTGCTGAAACCAATGAAAATTATCATCAGTCCATGTCTACATTACTGATAAGACGTAACATGTCAGGAATATGATTTTTTCGCATGATAGTTTGGTTTGTGGCAACCACTATCAAAATGATTGCTGTTCTGATATACTGAATCATCTCGTTTTCTGGCCGAAGAAGTCATTTTGCGAGAAACAAACTATGATAAACGTGCTGTTTGTCACCTAGGACAGTCTTGCATTGGACACGATTTGTCGATCTATCAGCTTTGCGGATATAGATTAATCATTCTTTTCGTGCGTTAGAGAAGCAGAAATTATTCTGCAACACTAATCATTGCCATGTAATGAACATATATCTAATCAAATCCGTTTGGTTTTCATATTTTATTTATGAACTGATGGAAAGTATCTCTTTGCCACGCTAGTTGTTGATCGATGTAAGATATTTCTGGCATCAATGGAACTTCGACTAAACAAAACTTGACTACAATACAGATACCTGTTTGCTAATATATTTGCTCAATATATATAAATTAAACTAGCGCTGCAAGTGCCTTTTGTGATCTGAATTCAGAAGCAATACATTTCTCCTCAACTATGATGGTTCTTCATGATCAAAGCTACATCATAAGAACTATGTGTACTAAAAAAGGGAATTGATACGAATTGCTTTTGAGTTTTTCGCAAAAATATCGTCAGTACATACTGAGTTATAGCGCTAGCTATTTTTGCTATTCCTATAGACCTGCTGTAGCGATAAAGATATTACCCCCTGGGGTGATATCAATATATGATCATCTCTCCTAATCATGCGTATCCTCTTGTTCTTCTCTGTTTTCTTCTTTCTCTTTCTCTTTCTATATAAGCGTGTGTCTTATTGTGAAGTGGTTACATTCTGGTCATGTAGAGTAGTCAATAAACATCGATACCATGAGAAGCGGTCAGCTACTCAACCAGTTTGTCATTACACCTGCTGCAAAATATAGCAGCCTTTCGATGATTACTGGACCGCAAACACCACTATACTGCTAAGACCCCTTATACCGCAATACCACAATACCGCTTATACGTCTTTTTATCTTGTGCTTATATTATCACATATGATCAGTAAGTCAAATACTTCGGTATTTGATAGAGATCTGTATTTGAATAAATAGTTATTTTGTTCCATACCCAAATGCCTTGTATATTGGCCTTATGAATGAGGCGAAGTTAGTGTTCATTGATATTTATCGGTGTTTGTGGAAGCGCTAAGCGTATTATTGCGGTTCTATGTACCGATTTGGCTGATATAGTGTTACGTGTGTTTTGAATTTGCCACAAAATCAAAAACCCCAGCACCTCCATATATGTGTATCTGCTATGAAGAACATAATTTTGTGATCAATTATTCATATCAGATTATGACTTATACAAATGCTACTAAATGCAAAGATTTAACCAAATTTCAATGCTTGTTTTCCAATCTGCTCTGTCTGATATTAACATTCTTCGATCAGATAATTTCAATTAGCTGCATTATCTCGATTTATGATATGATCAGAGAGAAACCAATAAAGGAACGATTAAAGTCAATTTGTACTATGTTTCGATCTCCTTGTCTACTAATAGAGAAATTAGGAATACGTGGGAATTTGTCAAAAATTTCATTTCAATGACATAGAATATAACGTGTAGCGGTCAGAATAAACTCATAAGTTAACAATTAATCATTAAAATGTAAAGAACATGAGATTTTGAATGATAATAATGAGAGCGAATGTTGCATGACACACTAATGTAATCGAAATGTTTCGAGACATAGAGGATTAATATCTTGACGGTGCAAAGCGGTTTATCCTCATTTTTCGGCACCTATGTTACAATCGGTGGTAAACCATGTTAGAACAACATTGTTTTCTGTAAGGTATTGGCTCAGTTGAATATAACACTGAAAGACCACTCTGTGCTTATATTGGAAATATTTAAGGAAGAGTTTATTTCATAGGCTATACTTAATAACACAAAAAATCGTACTGACATCTGCAGCTAAAGTTAGAAAATGTATACAGAGTTATCTGGACCGGTTTCAGTTCCATAGCTAGCTCAGGTGGCACCAGTGCTGCAATCAGAATTCAGTAGTTTCAACAACCTTTAACAGATTTTCGACCATTTTTGTACAAATATGTCTGCCTTTCTACAGTCGGTAAATTATCAGTGTGCTCTTCAGCTCTACGACCGATTTTTCTCCGATTAGCAGCATATGGAATGCCACTTACACAGTAAATGTTGTGCATGCACGCCATCTGTCGAATATGGAACTGGCTCTGTATGAAAACTAAATATATAACTGAACATAGTACCCGTTTTCAATAATTATGGCGATATTCATTTCTCGGCGTTTGCTAGTTGAAACTAGATGTCTTTGTCATCGGTGGATTCGTCAGTAACTAATACTTTTATCCCATTTTTTTCGCGAGAGAACACACCGTAACGTTTATACATCACAAAAAAGGGTAAACAGCTATCTTATTATGTATATGTATCAAATTATACGTCAATTTGCGTCTCATTTCACAATCTAAAAAGGGCGTAGAAAGCACGCTTATTATATCGCGTGGATGCGCGTGATAGAGTTCGGATTTAAAATTGCACCCTTTCGAAAATTTCTGTAAGTGTTATAGGCAGCTGCTCATAGAAACTTTTTGTTTTATTACGATCCTTTCGAAAGTATCATGTAAAACGGTGTACCATTATTCGATTTGGCTTGCAATCAATTATTAAGGTAGGAACGGAGTTAATGCTCGTAAGCATTTCGATTTTTCATTTGAGTTTGGAGTGGTAATAGAACTGTAGTTGATAGAGCTGTTTACCATCCTCTGTACGACAAAGATTCTCACTGTTAGAGAGATCTTTACTTTGGACATTCGACACTCAAACTCGAATAAAAACTCAAAGAACAAAGCTAAAGTTCAATCTCAAGACTTTAGAATTGTTTTATCCCTAGTTACATTCCAAGTTTGCCCGCTCACGTTCCAGGAAAACGAAAAGATGAAATACAGATCAACCAAAGAAATATATCAACCGAATATTTCAGTGTTTAGTACTCAGCTTTCATATACCTTGCCATTGCCATGATCCTATAGACGAGGTCGAAATGTACTTATAGATCATGTATTTACCTCCGTCTATAAACGACTAAGAAAGACGGTATTTTTGTCACTTAAGTGTATCCATTTGTCGAACGGTATACTATGGATCAGGTATGAAACATTATTCGAATATGATTGTGATACATCTTTAAGTCTATTCCATTTAGATTGAAATGCTCACTACTAATCGACACATTACTTCGGTAGAACGTGTGGCTGTTGACATCCCAATGCATAACGACTCTGAACTATTTTCGAACGCACAGTCTACGTCCGAGATCTATGATGAAACAAAAGAGAAGGATCAACTCAGCATTTCGAACACTTCACAGGAGCTGTGTGTTTTTCCTTTTCTTTAAATTCAATTTTGAATACTTTTTCTTCAGAAAACGTTCCATTTTTGGAATACCGAGCGGCATTCTTCGCATCTTCTTATCTTCTACATCTATTTGTATCATGATGGCTATTGGAATTATCATCGTTTGCTTAACTGCACCAAAACCGAAAGGTAGATTATCCATGTATCGGAATTCGAAATGACATTCTGTTTTAGTATCGACATGCGGATTAAATTTCGTGCGAACGGGAACAAATCCCATTGAATATAACTATGGACCAGTATCCGTTGCTATCGGTGACTTTAATCTGGATACTTGGATCGATATGGTCATTGTCAATTCGATTGTTAGTCGAATCGGAGTTTATTTTGGAAATTCGAATGGAACTTTTGTCAAAGAATACGAGTATTCAACTGGCATCAATTCTCATCCGGTAATGGCTGCAGTCGATAATCTCAATAATGACTCATATTTAGATATTGCAGTCGCAAATTATAACACTCATACTATTGGAATCTTCTATGGATTCGGGAATGGATCGTTTCAAGATCAAATCGAAATATCAACAGGAATCTCACGACCACTATCACTTCATCTAGTTGATTTCAATAAGGATTCATTTGNCCGGTGTCAATTCTCATCCATCGTCAGTTGCTGTTGCAGATTTCAATTCGGATGGATTCGTTGATATTGCTGTTAGTAACTATGGTACGAATATGACTTATGTACTTTTAAATGATGAACATGGAAACTTTTTGGAGCGAACATCGTATTCGATCGATTCTTCTTCGCCATACTCGATCGGCGTCGGAGATCTCAATGGTGACGGTCGATTGGATATATTCACTGTTAATATCGGACTGAACGACATTGCTTCACTTCTCGGTTTGGGTGATGGTAGTTTTTCCAATGCAATGATGAACACAACTGGATCTACTTCGTCTATCTCGTTTGTTTTATGTGATTATAATAAAGATAATCGGTTGGATGCAATCGTCGTTAGTAATGACACTGGAAGTATTGAACTTCTCAAAGGATATTTTGCAGGCTTTCCATCATACGTAAAGTACGATGTTGGGTACAATCCGACGACTGTAGCTGTCAATGATTTGAATCATGACGGAATATTAGATATGATACTTCTTAGTAACACAAATGATATGATGATGGTGTCTTTTGGATATGGTAATGGAACATTCCAAAGTCCGAATCTCTATGCAACGAACGAAAATCCATATTCCTTAGCGATGGGTGACTTTAATAACGACACAAATATAGACGTAGTTGTTGCCAATCGTGATAGTCATAATATTTGTGTATATCTTGGTAATAGTGACGGTACTTTTGAAACTCCATCGAACTATTCAACGGGCTCCCGGCCAGTGTTCGCAGCTGTTGGTGATTTTAACAACGATCACCGTCTAGATATTGTTGTTGCCAATTATGGTAGCAGTAGTGTGAGCGTCTTCTTAGGATACGGCAACGGCAGTTTTAGAACTCAACGAAGATACTCAAGTGGCTATAGACCATATTGCGTAGCAATAAGTGACTTTAATAATGATAATCAAGTCGACCTGGTTGTTGTCAACTATAGTAACAAAACTATAACTGTTCTTGCAGGATATAACAATGGAAGTTTTGGAAATCCAACAACATATAGAACTGGTACACGCCCATACTTTGTGGCGGTTGCTGACTTGAATAATGACAGCCGAATGGACATTGTTGTTGCTAATCATATAAGCGATACGGTGAGTGTTATGTTAGGAGATCGTAACGGTACCTTTGCAACACAAGTTACATATGGAGTGGGTAGCTCACCAGAATGGATAGTTATTGTCGATGTAAATAATGACACACGATTAGATCTTATTGTCACTTGTTCTGGAGTAACAAGTGTGTACATTTTATGTGGACTCGGTAATGGTTCGTTCGAAGCTGCAGTGACATATCGTATGTACTCGAACGCACAATCTGTAGCAGTTGGAGATTTGAATGATGATAAACGGCTGGACTTAATTCTAACAGACAACAGTGGTACCAAAGTAATTATATTACTTCAGTCTAATACAGGTGCTCTGGCAACCGGCTTAACATATGCACCTGGTGGTGGTTCCAAATTACAGTCGATGGCCATCTTCCGCCTGAATAACGATACTCGATTAGACATGGTTGTTGCAAATTATGGTACTGATGATATTTCAATTCTGTTTGGTAGTGACAATGAGACCTTTCTCAATCGACTCACGATTGACATGGAATCGAATTCTCAACCTACATCAGTTGCTATTGGTCATTTCGATGATGATTCTCAATTAGATATTGCAGTAGCCCTTTCTGGTCCTCGTCAAGTTGGAATCTTACTTGGAGATGGTCGAGGATCTTTCATCCGTCAAAATACCTACCAGTTTCCTTCTGAATCTCGGCCGTTCGTTATTTCCCCTGGAGATTTTAATAATGATGGACGAACAGAAATTGTTGTTGGATACGATGATAGTGATGAGATAGACATACTTACTGTGTTCAATTCTGGATCGTTTGCAGATCCACAGACATAT